ACCTTTTGCCACATTTCAGGCTTCAAACATAAAGATATAAAACTGTAATTTTTTTGTGAAGAATCAACAACAAGTGGGACACAATCATGAAGTGGAACGAAATTTATTGGATATTTCAAACTTTTTTAACAAATAAAAAAACTGAAAAATTGGGCGTGCAAAATTATTCAACCCCCTTAAGTTAATACGTTGTAGCGCCACCTTTTGCTGCGATTACAGCTGTAAGTCACTTGGGGTATGTCTCTATCAGTTTTGCACATCGAGAGACTGAAATTTTTGCCCATGCCTCCTTGCAAAACAGCTCGAGCTCAGTGAGGTTGGATGGAGAGCGTTTGTGAACAGCAGTTGTCAGTTCTTTCCACAGATTCTCGATTGGATTCAGGTCTGGACTTTGACTTGGCCATTCTAACACCTGGATATGTTTATTTGTGAACCATTCCATTGTAGATTTTGCTTTATGTTTTGGATCATTGTCTTGTTGGAAGACAAATCTCCGTCCCAGTCTCAGGTCTTTTGCAGACTCCATCAGGTTTCCTTCCAGAATGGTCCTGTATTTGGCTCCATCCATCTTCCCATCAATTTTAACCATCTTCCCGGTCCCTGCTGAAGAAAAGCAGGCCCAAAACATGATGCTGCCACCACCATGTTTGACAATGGGGATGGTGTGTTCAGGGTGATGAGCTGTGTTGCTTTTACGCCAAACATAACGTTTTGCATTGTTGCCAAAAAGTTCGATTTTGGTTTCATCTGACCAGAGCACCTTCTTCCACATGTTTGGTGCGTCTCCCAGGTGGCTTGTGGCAAACTTTAAACGACACTTTTTATGGATATCTTTAAGAAATGGCTTTCTTCTTGCCACTCTTCCATAAAGGCCAGATTTGTGCAGTATACGACTGATTGTTGTCCTATGGACAGAGTCTCCCACCTCAGCTGTAGATCTCTGCAGTTCATCCAGAGTGATCATGGGCCTCTTGGCTGCATCTCTGATCAGTCTTCTCCTTGTATGAGCTGAAAGTTTAGAGGGACGGCCAGGTCTTGGTAGATTTGCAGTGGTCTGATACTCCTTCCATTTCAATATTATCACTTGCACAGTGCTCCTTGGGATGTTTAAAGCTTGGGAAATCTTTTTGTATCCAAATCCGGCTTTAAACTTCTCCACAACAGTATCTCGGACCTGCCTGGTGTGTTCCTTGTTCTTCATGATGCTCTCTGCGCTTTAAACAGACCTCTGAGACTATCACAGTGCAGGTGCATTTATACGGAGACTTGATTACACACAGGTGGATTCTATTTATCATCATTAGTCATTTAGGTCAACATTGGATCATTCAGAGATCCTCACTGAACTTCTGGAGAGAGTTTGCTGCACTGAAAGTAAAGGGGCTGAATAATTTTTTTTATTTGTTAAAAACGTTTGAAATATCCAATAAATTTCGTTCTACTTCATGATTGTGTCCCACTTGTTGTTGATTCTTCACAAAAAATTACAGTTTTATATCTTTATGTTTGAAGCCTGAAATGTGGCAAAAGGTCGCAAAGTTCAAGGGGGCCGAATACTTTCGCAAGGCACTGTAGGTGTCAAATGAAGAAGAAGAAAAACAGAATAAATGGTCTTACAGAGTTGTTGAGCTATCATAAACCTCAAGAACAACGCCAGTGTATTTTGTTATAGATTTCTCTGGAACTCTACTCCAGGGATGAACCACATTCTCTTAGTCCATCCATTAATTTAACCATTTAGTGCCCCCTTGTGTCCTATAGGAAGCATCTTCATTCATTGTGTTTCTCAACTCATTTATTCAGGCTCTTAATTTGTTCTTCTAAAGCTAAGACCAAATTCCCATTAACCTCAACTTAGCATCAGTGCTAACATAGCTTGCTAAAGTTTAACACAGTAAATAACAAAGCATAGCCTAAGTACAGCTGAGGCTGATAAAGTGATGAATATTGTAGAAGTGTGATGCAAATCTTTGGCTTGTTTGTACAAAATGTGCTTTTGTAGTTTGAGTTTATTTGCCTCAAACAGCCAAAGTACCAACTGTTCAGACGTTAGCTGTAGATTGCTAGCAACATGCACACTAACCGTGTGCTTGGAGTGTCTTTTTTGGGTGATTCACATCACAAAACCCATCAAGAACTTCAGATATTGTTAATTGCCTCTGGACTCTTTTCCTGACCTTTTGCATTCGATCACCAAATTTTCAGGCAAGTTGAGTTCATGTGTTATTGCACTGCCTCTAAAATTTGTGTCATGTTCGGTCTGAACACACCTTGACAGTGTAGAGCTGGACCCGGCATGTTGAGCCTCAGATATCCAAAATGGGCACTGTACAGAGGATAAATCATTTTGATTTAGGGAACAACGTGGCTTTTCCGCCAGCACAATAGCAAGCGTTACTTGTTTTTCTGTGGTACTAGAAGCTAAGAATAGCAAAGCTGTCTATTTTTAATCTATCCAAATTTGGTTTTTTGTGTCTAATGAGCATTATAGCCTCTCAGATCCTTTACGCTGGGTCTTTTATTTTCTAATGGAGTGTAAACATCAAGCAAAAGATCCCAGGAAAATTATTTTGATATTAAAAAAATTAGCAGGAGAGCATTTAAGACTAGTGCTGCCTGTAAGCTGTTTGCTCAGACCCACTGTAGTTCTAATATTAGTTCCCAAACAGGGATCCAGGGACTGCCAGCAAACCTTTAGGGAATTTAATGGAGCCCCCAGAAAAATGAGCTGTGGTTGAATTCCAGCACTATTTTAAGATGTTAAAGATGCCTATTCTGCCTTTCTCACTCTCTGCCTTGTTGGAATCACTCATGTCTTACCTACTGTAAAATGTATGTCTTTTATTTGCTGAGTTAATAAGAAACATGTTATTTCTAATATGGATGTAAATTAAGTCAAGGTCAGTTTTGCACAGTGCTGAAAAGTGCGTTTCGTCAAGTAGGTTGCACATAAGTACAAATTGAGGTGCCTTAATCCTACTAGTCTTCCCATTTTATGACACTTTATACTTCTTTTCCACTAGATGTAAGAGGGAATTTTGACTTTTGACTTCTAAATTTTGGCCAGTAAACAATACAACATCAAAATTAGGATAGCGTGACTGTACCAGTGATAATAAACCCATAATGTGTAAGCAGTTGCACTGAATGCTCTTCTGCAAAAATGACCTCATAATTGTCTTTCTTAACATGAAACCAATGTAACTTGTGTGTGTGAGCATCCTGTCTGTCCACATTTTTGTTTATTCCTTATACATGGGTCTCTCTTAAGCACTAGCTCAGTGAGCCTGTCTGTTTAAAGGACTGAACAAATCATTTTGTAAATATCCACTGTAAAATTTTGAATATGGATTTTACACTTGCAATTCAGTATTTTTACACTCATTACACATCTAATTACTTTTAAATAAAGGTGCATTAACTGAGATTTTACACATTGTCTGGTAAATCAAGTGACATGGTGTCTCTCAGCTGTACCTGCTCCATGACACCCTGCTGCCTACAGCGATGCTATTGTTATTCCAGCTTTTCTACCCCCTGCCTGCCACCTGGAAGGTTATAAGAAGTGTTTTTTTGAACTGCACGTAGTCGCTTCAAACATCCAGCCGTGGAGGAGCTATTGGAAGCTGAAAGCTCTAAGCTGTGGCTGCCAGACCGAGGAGGTGTCATTCTTTTGCACAGAGAGAGTGAGACAAAGAAAGAGCAAAAACCAGGGTGTTAACATCAGTTTGGCTTTTTGTGATTGAGAGTGTTAAAAGCAGCCAAAGGACTCAGATTTGATCCAGATGTGGCTTTCTTCCTTTTGGTTGTGTCAACATCTGCTGAATTAGCATGCATTTTGTACAGATTGTGACAACCTGGCGTCTGTAGTTTACGTTGTTGCTAGGAAACCAGGCGTGATGGGAGGGTCGAGCGGGTATAGGTATCAGATTGTCTTGAGCCTCACTAGACCCTCTAGAGGCTTTAAAGAAATTAAGTAGCTTTAAGTAAAGGATCTCGATATTTCTTCCATCGCTATTAAGGAAATGTCTTGTAGTCTAGTATAGTATTAGTCATTAGTCCTTGTCTTTTGATAATCTGTCATAGCATAAGATATAAAGGTGGGGCACTGTGTTGGAGCTCTGCCACAACTTTGGGTCTGGTGAATCAATACCCTTGCTGAATATGACTATGGAGCATCATCTCCTATGTAATAGCGCTCACACACACACACACTTGCACACAACACAATCGGGGTCGCTGGCTGGTGAGATAACAGCATGGCAGAGACAGAAAGAGGGATACTGGGATGGGGTGTAGTGGGAGGTAGAGGAGAGGGGACAAGTCACATGCTCTGACTCACTCCATCAGTGTCAAGTTATCCAGTGTTAAGAATAAAGTTCTCCACTCAAATCCTTCAAAATAAAACGGTTATTAGAGAAGATAGTGCCATATTATGAATGTTATTATTATTAGTTTTTTTTTTATTTGAAGTTTGTTAAGTTCACTTAGAATTAGTCTGTGTGATGGGGCATTTCCAAGGCTGAATTACCACCAGCAGGCCTGGAATAATTAGTTTATATTGTGGCGATTTGTTATGGCCTATAGTGTTGATTCATATGGCGTTTTTACATCATAATGGTGCATTTTCACCGGTTCTGCCAACACTGCTGGAATGTCTGTAACCTTTTCACCAGGTGGGAGATGACTGTGTTAGAAATTCCCGATATCCCAGACTGGATCAGAAGGGGGTGAATGTAAATGGCTTTTCCAACTCAGCTACTCTTAATGACGATAAACAACAGACACGAAGGCGGTACAACATTATGGAGCGTGTTGTATCCTCAGAGCCCTTAGGGAGTGTTTTTTAAATCCTAAATTTCACTCCTGGCTTCCGGGACCTTATTGTCTTATTTTGAAGGTAAAATGCGAGTATCTCCGGTCTGCCCCTGGCTGAATTGACGCAGCTCTCCCTCTCCCCGGTGCGCCTGAACTCCAGTAGACTACCTGGCACCGCAGAGCGCGTCCAGCGGCTGAGGGGACGCGGACGCACGGGAGACCGCGTAGTCCTGTTTAACTTTACTTTTCCCGTTTATTAAAACTTCTGCGCCACATTCCTCCCTTATTTGTGTTCCCTTCTTCACCCTCCCTACAGACGGACTGAGTTTGGATATCGGCAGGGGGGAGGAGGCAGAGGACCAAGGGGCTCCTCTCAGATGGAGCACCAGGGCTCCGGGAGCTCAGGGCGCACGGCGGACCCGGAGTGAGTGACGCTGGTGGATGGACGCTGCTCCCCGGTAAGGACGGCAGGCAAAGTTTTTGCTTTTTGATCTATGGTGTACTTTTTATTTGCTGTCTTGTCCCGGGGACTGGGCTGGATGAACGCGGCACAATAGAAAATCTCCAGGTCCATGATGTCGCTCTTTGTCAATGGCCTGAAAAAGAAAATAAATAAATAAATTCATTAATAGCCTTGTAAATAATAAGTTGGTGGCCTTGTACCTAAGGGTAGGTTTATGTAAAAATACATAATAAAATATCACTAAAATGTTGAGCCTTGTTTGGAGATGTTTGGTTTTATATCACTGTACAGTTTATTAAATGATACATTTGAATGTTTTTCTGTTTCTCCAGTGCCCCCTGACAGCGTAATGCTCTGAAATGATCTAGTATTAATAGCTGTCTTATACTGGGTGGCCTTTAGCAGGATCACTGTAGAGAATAAAAACGATAATGTGTTGTTTTTGGATATTTTTGTTGAGAATGAGACGTGCAGTTATCAATTCTTGTTAAAGAATTTGGGCAGTTTATGTATATGTGTGGAGAGTATGATTATAAACCTGAAATAATGGCTTTCAGAGGTTTTAGATTTTGTTCTGGTGATTGGTTGAGAGTCAGTAGGATGATTTAATTTCCACATGGTCTGGCTGGTAGCAAGGGAGGCTTATAATGAGTTTCTAAAATGTTCTAAAAGGGCTCATCAGCAGGTTTTCAACTGCTGAAGAATAGCCTTTTTCTTTTTTTTCACTGGTTAAGTGATGCTCTCCCAACAGCTACTACTGAATCACCTACAAAAAGCCTTACAGTGAGCAGCCCTGGACTCCTCACACAGCCTAGGCTATGTGCCCATAACAAAAACACACAGGAATGAAGAATCCTGGCAGACCTCATTATTTTCATTAAAAACACACACACAGATACAATCTCTCTCTCTCTCTCTACGCTGTGAACCTGCATGCCAGCTCTACTGTTGTCCTTTCACACTGTATGCAGAGTATATATATGCCTGGCCTTGCAGTTGGCCCAGACTTCTATCGTCTTGATTCTTCTTGATGTTAGTTGTCCAAATAATCCAGCTCTTACTTCAACTTAATAACAAACTGGTATCTTTGGAATAAATTTGCCAGAATCTCTGGGGAGCAATAAGCGGTGGAATGAGCACACGGTGGACCAGTGGGGAGCGTTTGCTGGGAACTTGTGACCATGTGGACTCTCTCACATGCTCCAGCTCCCATGTCTCCCTGCCAAACTTTACTGCATGCTGCCCATTAAAGCAGAACATGTGATGAAATTTAAAAAGCAAATCCTAAGCCAAGACGTGAATCTGCTTTAGCTCTTAATTTTAATTGATATTATAATTTAATTTGGCACTTCCTACATGATATTCCAATGGTTCAAGCAATTCTGGTCAGTGCTTATAACAATTAATCACAGGCTGCTGTGACTTTACAATGTCACTGATTTTTATGAGATGTGATCTGAAAATACAGCTCAAGGTAACACTATTTATCATTAGTGGAAATTTATTGTAAATTAAAAGCAAAATGAAGGAGCTGACCATATGAGTAGCTGACCCCCAACTTCATTCTCCTCACAGTAATAGGAAAAGGTCCTTTGTCTCTCAGGGGCGCTGCTAGGGATAAGGATCTACTGGGGCACAGGCCCCCCCCCCCCCATTACTCAAATCACATAATTATTTTTCTTGAATGTGTGCTGCATGAATGAAACGTGCTATACATTGTGTTATATGAACTTCCCTTGCTTAACCCACTGTTCTACTGTTGCCACTGAAAGTGAAGCAACTACTGGTAAAGATAAAAATGTATGAAAATATTTTTTTGAACATACTTTAAAAACATTCTCGACATATTTTAAAAAGTCTGGCCCTGTATTGCACTTTTCTTTGCATTCTTCTGCATTTCTCAATAATAACTAATCAAGCAGCCCCAGGTTGATTTGTCAAATTTAAACTTTCACAACAATTAATTAAATGTATACTTTTTAATTAATTAATTAATAAGCTTCCTCCACACTTTCCCTTCCTGCCTCAGGTTCACCTGTTTGTTAAATGTGCATAAGACAGACATTATTTGGACCGTGTGACAGGAGCATCAGATATTATGCTATATTCGTTAAAATCAGAACAGTCCAGTCTTATCCAGTAGATGATTATACACCAATAAATAGCGTTCTAAGAGTAGTGTAACTGATCATATGTATTGATGTACAGAGCTCTAACTTACTTCCCATTCAACATCGCACTAGCTAACTAAACCAATGTTAGCTACAGCCAGCTACAAGCCAGGTCTGCTGTCTCGCCCTCATCTCTCTGAACTTCTGCCTGGTCTCAGCCTCATCTAAAGACGTTTCTTGTGTCCATCTACAGGAGTCAGTAATGTTTGAGTCAAAATGAGATCATCAGTATTACTCGAAAACTCTTATTTAGTCCCTGTCACATACCTCAGTCCATTCCTTTCTTTTGATTTGTGCCCCAATACATGGATTGCTGCATGTGCACTACGGTGCACCAGTTATGACGTGCACACTGAGGTGTACAAACCCTGACCCTTGTACTTTGCTTTGATATTCTGGATTAGGAGAATAAACGAATTATTTTCCTGTTATTAACAATCTAAATGAATCCACTGCCAAATATAGGAGCTTGTTAAAACTCGAATGTGTGAGTTTAGTGGGGCACAGCAGATCAATACTGGGGCACATGCCCCAGTATGCCCCAGTAAAAGGGCTCTAATGACGCCTGTGTTCTCTCTGTATGACCAGATTGTTTAAAGCCAGTCTGGATTAAAAGCATCAGCAGTAATGAAGGGTACAGCTCCAGGATTATAACAAATTGGTCTAAGAGCTTCCAGTTATTTACACTGACACCATGTTTGCAGCTTTGCTCACATGTAGGGAATGTCTAGTTCAAATTCATGTCGACTTGTTTCCTGCACAGAACCACTCGCTGGCTGTGATGCTTCTGCCGAAGGTCGCTCACTGCTTCACAGAAAAACAGAGAATGAATTTTTTTTTGTGCTGATTTCTTAGAGGGTAGAGGGTCTCATGGACAGTGTGACATGCTTGATAGTTTGTTTGCCAGCCACAGGTCAAAAACACACATTCACATGGTTACACACACAGGCATCCATATGTTACCATGTCCTGAACAGTTTGCCGGTGCCCCTATACGCCCTCTTTTAGCTTCAGGCTGTTCACAGCACAGCCATGACCGACACCCAGGATCTAGACCTGCATGAGCAGCACAGAGGACCAACGCAGGACCAAGGGGATGAGGAGGAGGAGGGGGATAAGGTGCATGTGTCAGTTGAGGAGGAGGAGGGGGAACAGGAAGGGCAGGAGGAGGAGGAGAAGGAGGAGAAGGAGGAGCTGCCGTACCCCTCTCTAGCACCAGTGGTTCTTTTGGCTCTGACCCAAACCAGCCCACCCCGCTCCTGGTGCCTTCGAGCTGTCTGCCACCCATATCCTTCACAGTCGGGAGTACACCTGAAGCACTGTGTGTGAACGTGTGTGTGTGTTTCTGTTTATAAAGTGAGAGAGACAGTCTGTTTGAGTTTCAGATCTGTACTTTCTCAAAGCTATTGTATCTGCAAGGCACCTAGCGCCTGGATGTTTATTCTACCTTTAAACACAAGGGAGTGGAGAAGGAGGTCAGTGTTGTGCATACCCCTGTATGTGTATGTGTCTTTGGGTGACATCAGGTATTTCCATGGACCTATAAGCTGTAGGAAAAGATGGCCAACATTTTTCCCTGATTGGAGGTTTCCATAGTGACAAGCCCTAATGAATCTCCAGGGCTGCAGTTGCCTGTCAGTCGCATTGTTATTGGACTCCATTTATGCAGCAGTAGGAGTCACAAATAGTAAAAACTCATGTCACCTCCCAATGCTCGCTCTGTTTCTGCCTTCATTGTCTCACCTTACAGTACATTCTGCTCCCTGTCTCTCACTCTTTTGTTCAGCCTCCATCCACTTCTGCCGGTGACATGATGATGTGAGTGTGTATGTGTGTGTGGTTATCACCGCTCTAGTGTGTGAGTGGCTATGAATACTCCTAAGCATGCATAAACGTCAGCAATACCTCAGGGATTTGTCAGGCCTTTCCAAATTGAATCTTTTCCACTGCTTATGGCTCCAAGTGTGCATGCCTGTGCATGTGGGTTCCTCTGCTCGTGCGCGGACGTGCTGTGCACTCGTCAGTGCCCGTCTGCGGGTATTTGGCACTGTCAGCACTCTGTGTTCTCAATAAAAAAGAAATACGTAATTGCTGAATAAATAAAACGTACACCGAGTAAAAACTACAAATACCACGAACCAAGCTGTTGTGTAGCCTGCTGGGCTGTTACCATGGTCGCATCCCAGAGCATTGTGCACTCACTGTGTCAGCACTAACTTACTGGACACGATCATCCCCACCCATGTGAGCGTGCACACACACACACTAGCGAGTGAATGCCCTCACACAAACGAGGGAATCTCCCATGGAGAGGCTCTGTAGAGGAATCACCTGGTTGCTTGGCAACAGCGTAGCTCTGCCCCGACGGCCCGGTTACTTCCGCTTGCAGTATTTGTTTGTTGTGTGTGTGACTGTCTGTCCTCCTTTCTGCTCCCGTGTTCATATAACACTGTTGCTGGCATGTGGCCCATTTTATGTTTATTTACGCTGTATATGTTTCTATAATTTATACTTACAGTGTGTCTGTTGTCTGTGTGCATCTGTTACTGCGAGTGATCTGTGAGAGAAGTAATGTGGGTGGATGTTGTTTGACAGAGATATTAATGTGAGCTCAGTGGGGGGTGGAGGCAGTTCCCAAGAGCTGTAAGTCCCCATTTTTTTTCCTGAGGTGACCCCTTGTTACTTTCTGTCTTTTTTGCACTCAGTGCATATTCCAAATTAATTTCCTATCTCTTTCCTTCCATTTCCTTAGAAACACAGTCATCTTCCTTTGTGCCATGTTCACGACATACATTACATCATATTTATTTGGAACAAAAACAAGATTAGCTTTTGCTATTTTATAACATTCTCTTCTATTCCTTCCAAGCTTCATCGATTTCTGTTATTTCCTGTTCCTCTGAGAACAGACGTTCATTACAATCTAAGTGTGAAAAAGGTGCCTGCTTTGTAAAGTGCTGAGCTTTCCATGTCAGTCCTCCTGCTGCTTTCATGTAACACATCACACAAACGCACACACACGTGCAGAGGTGCGGAGCCAAATGTGCACACAGACACAGATGCACCACATACAAAAGGCATAAGTTATTCAGCAGTGCATCAAACATTTAGAGCATTTCCTTTTGTTTAAAGATGAGAAAAACTGATTCTGTCACTCCCATACAAGTACCTTCCTCAGCTCTTCCTCTCTTTTCTTGTTTCTCTTATCCCTCTCTACTTAAAATAAATCCCATGTCCTCCCATTTATCCTTAAACTGTCTCTTATTTGGCATAAGATGTGTGTATTGTATGCGGGGGAATAGGGAGACAAGGATGCACAGGAGGAGGTCTAATAGTAGGGTGAGCTGTCAGAATGATTTCAGCCAATTAACTTAACTTCAGAAGGTGTTTCCATGGTTACCAGCCATCATACTCTCAGGGGGAGGAGCCAGAGGAGTTGACAACTTGACGATGACTTAACTTGGCCCACCTTAATTTCAGACGCACTGTCCCTCTCTCGGGCATTAACATGCACACACTCAAGCCTAACTAGGTTATGTTTAATCAAGTCTGTGTCTGTGGATTCCAGAGAGAAAGTGTGAGGCCAAGCAGCAAAGAGCATGAGGGGAGCTGGTGAGCAGGTTTAGTTAAAGAGCCCGTGGCATCCTCACTTCCAGCCATTTAATGTTTAATCTTGGGTAACTCTAGATTAGCTTTGCACCCATCATAACTCCAAATAGTCTGTAATTATTTCAGAATGATAAAACCAGAGAGCCTCTTCCTGAAAATGAGAAGATAGTTTAGCAGGCTGGCTGCTTGTAGGTTAGACCCAGTCAAGTAAAAGAGCAAGTCCCTGTTCAGGAAGATTCCCAGAGATGCAGTAACCCCAGGCCTTGCAGTTTTATCCACATCCTCTGGTCACAGTGCAATAGCAGGAGGGAAAATATATCCACAAAACCGTGCGCAGTCGAAAAACTGGAGATTATGGCCTTTCAAGGAAATCCTTAAACTATCACATATACCGTGCTTTACATTGTTAGAACAAAGAAAGTCTCGCGAGTGAGAGTTTGCGAAATGTGTATAAACTGAGTTGCCTCTGCATAGAAATACTAGAATATACAGTGGGTACAGAAAGTATTCAGACCCCCTTAAATTTTTCACTCTTTGTTATATTGCAGCCATATGCTAAAATCATTTAAGTTCATTTTTTTCCTCATTAATGTACACACAGCACCCCATATTGACAGAAAAACACTGAATTTTTGACATTTTTGCAGATTTATTAAAAAAGAAAAACTGAAATATCACATGGTCATAAGTATTCAGACCCTTTGCTGTGACACTCATATATTTAACTTAGGTGCTGTCCATTTCTTCTGATCATCCCAGAGATGGTTCTACACCTTCATTTGAGTCCAGCTGTGTTTGATTATACTGATTGGACGTGATTAGGAAAAGCCACACACCTGTCTATATAAGACCCTACAGCTCACAGTGCATGTCAGAGCAAATGAGAATCATGAGGTCAAAGGAACTGCCTGAAGAGCTCAGAGACAGAATTGTGGCAAAGCACAGATCTGGCCAAGGTTACAAAAAAATTTCTGCTGCACTTAAGGTTCCTAAGAGCACAGTGACCTCCATAATCCTTAAATGGAAGACGTTTGGGACGACCAGAACCCTTCCTAGAGCTGGCCATCCGGCCAAACTGAGCTATCGGGG